CGATTCGCCACACTCCATGCAGCATACAAAGCAAGAGAAGAGAGTAAAGAGAGATAATAAACACAGAATTGAGGAAAAACGTATTAGTTTAAGCTTTTTCCTTTACCGTTGTCGACAGAATTGTGCCTGTGAGCTAAAATTATAACAGTTATTTTCACCTAATTGTTTTATATTCATATGTTGTTACTGAATTACTGCAAGTGATATTCATCAATAGTTACTATCGCATAATTCATGAATGAGAATGTCTCACTTAGAAAAAAGTAATTTATAGTATTTTTGCAACGATACACATGGTTATTGAAAAGTGGTAATGCTTTTATTGCCTAAATGTTTAGATGACTGCGTTTCCAGTAGATTCACTTTTTTCGCGCTTACATTTTGCCTGGAGGTAATGAAAATAAAATAAGAAGTAAATAAATCGTTACACTAACAGTATTAAACTCCACGTAATTCAATTTTTCATCGCATTTTTCAGATCCATACTTCTACAGGATACAAAGACTCCCTTCCTGGTTTCCACCACTAGTAACCGGCAACTAAATAACATCTTGTTAAATCCAAGATATCACTGAGGTATACGTATTACGAGCTGAAATAATAGCACACACTGAATATTTTGATCCATTAAAATCAACTAAGGATTAATTAATAATAATTCAACAAATAACTGCTCATGTTCACTGCAAGCAGAGTGGTTCTGGTGGTCTAATGGACGGCGGTTTGGCATTCAGAATGATGATGGCGGGTGGATTCAAGTCGCAGTAAGTTACATTCAGTTGAAGTGTCACACACAAAAAGCAGTTCACATCATCACCAACCAAATAACTAAAAAAATTTAAAAGCATTTAAGTTAACACATAGATGCTATTTTTGGCTACCGAAACTTGAAATCATTTTTTCTATTTTGCACATTATCGGTCAGAATAATGTCAAAATGTCTAGTGATATTGATCGCTTAACAGATATCTGATCTTTCATACGTTCAGCGTCGTGTATCACTGTTTTTCTGTCAAACAGAATTACTTGAAGCGAAAATACCTTTTGAAATGTTTTCCAGCTTATTTTTGACAAACAGTTTACTTCTGATGAAAAACCGTCTTTTCTGTTTGGAGAAAGTTCTTTGCGCTTATGGTAACAAGGAAATTATTTTGACTAGTTCACAGTGCTTCAGTGTCACGTTAATGACGGAAAATCTTAATGGAATTTAAGAATTATTTTAATGTTGGGCAAAAATGAATCACAGATACAAAACACAGATTAAACATTCAAACGAAGTTTAACCATCATTAAGGTTTCAAAGTTATCAATGGGACTGAATTCAGCCCCTCCAAAACTCCACATTCGTGTCCTGCATATACAGCTGAAATGCTTGGAATACATGACAAAGCCCACACGTTACATTTAAAAATCCTTCATAAATCTCTTTCCTTTAAGATGATCCTTAAAATGTCCTTTTGGTTGATGTCATTTTGCTTCATTTGGTCTTCTTTGTTCATACTATTACTTCAAATTTAACCCAGTTATTTTCGTGCAAACGTTTGTCGAGTGTGTTTCTTGTTCCTGCTTTTCTGTAAATGGCTTTTAACGTTGAAATGTTAGTTGACGTTTATGGCAGTGTGTTCTGTGACCGTTAGAGCTTGATTTTGGATATTTGACTGTTCTTCTGACAATAGCGTCATATATGTGTGTGTATTAAAGGCCCTCAAAGTACCGTATAACTTTGAAGAGAAGTTATAATAAGAGATCTCGCAGATGTTGATAACTTACATAACATATGAAATTTACCACACCTTTCGGACAACAGTGAACTTAATGCTGAAGGTGTTGTTCAGAAAGACAGTGAAAGCTTCGCTATTAAACCATCTAGCTCGGAGAATACAGAAATGCCAGAAACACTTAACTGAGCAAAACATCTCCTCCACTATTAAGTGATGTAGAAAGTCGTATAGCTAACTGATATTGCCTAGAAGTCTAATCTATGCTATAGGCTATTACTATCACATTTACCAAGAGATTAGAATTTGAAAACTGAAAATAGAAGTAATTTGATTAAGTTATATAATCATACATTCCCGTGAATCTTGCCCATGCTTTTATTCATGAAAAACTGATACGTCATCCACTAGGAAAAAACTGTTATTATATATTTTCTTATTGCACTATAGGCGAATCTCATTTTAGCATCAGGTTGACGCGAATTTAGTGAGTCACCATAGATTTGGGTAATTTACATCTCACTAATTTTATGGGAGTTCTGAAACTCCTAAACTTGAATAATTCTCTCAAGAGATCTGCACCTCACATTTGCTAAACATAACAATATAGTGTTTCGGTTTCTTTTTCAAACACGCTAGGATTATTCTAAATAATTTTATAGGAAATCCAGTTGTTTCAAATGTATTTAATACTTTAACCAAAATAAAGAATTAATCTATGCATTTACTGAGAGCATCTCATAGACTGGTATGTATTTTAGAAATGAAAATATAAATCAAATACAACTGATCATTTTTAAACTTGAATCTTCATTATACTGATTATCGTGAGACGAAAATTTTATCCATCAATTCACATGTTTGCGTCTAATTATCCACAAAATTTTTATCTCATACTCTGAGGGTATTGGTTGAAATGAAAAAAATGAAGATGTAAATATAATCAAAGAATCTAATTATGTTTTCAAGAGAAAACCACCTAATCTAAACAAACTCACTCAGAATAACTCTCTATATCTCGATTCAAGTCGCATTTTTATATACTCTGAAAATACACTCGACATTCCATTCCATTCCATCATAACTCATCAATATTGTGTCTGTTATCGAAAGGTAGTGGGTTATTTAAAAAGAATAAGGACTATTAAATAGTGGAATGTGCGCATTAGATCATAAGGAAACTAAGTTGCTGATCTACAGGGGCTGAGTACATTTGGCGTGCCATAAGTCTACTCGTAAAACGTGTTTTTAAACATTAGTTAAGCCGGCTAGCAAACGGAGAATGAATATTTGTCCTTGTTTCGATGGTGGAACAACTTGTGAACTCAGGTTACTCAGTTCCATTTTAGAAATACCTCAATTTTTACACAAGATCCTATCAAAACCACTAAATAGCTTAAGATCAATATATCTAGGCCGAGGCGAAACATTAGCAATCGCCATGTATGCAAGATAAGAACGTCCAGTCTTTGCCTTTAGCATGGGTGCACAACCAGGCTTCTTTCCTCAAGAAAATGACTACTATTTGTTGGCAGATATTTTCGTTTATTTTATTATTATTGTGTAGCTGTATCTTGTTATTCTCTACACTTTGACCTATTCGGAAAATTATTCTGGAAATCTCTCCACCTATGTTAAAAACTGACTGATGCACAGTATGTATGATGACTGCATCTAAAAGGAACATTTTCCTTTAGTGTGAATGTTCTCGTAATTTCAACCACATTGGTGATATTAATTTTGTAAAAAACACTATGATATTAACAGATGTTCGAAAACACCAATCACTAGAAAACAATGGCTGTGATTATATTTCGAAGTTGATAAAATTACATAAACTGAAACAGTGAATATATGGTGGTTTTTAGAAAAACGTTGTGATACTCGTTAATTTAACCACTGTCGGTGACAACTTTGAACGTAAGCCTTGTCATTAGTCACTATAAATTATTCCTTATTAACCGAAATTTTTCTGAATTTCTAGTTTTGACTGATTACACAAGACCGAAATTCTCAGTTTCTGTTAACCTTGTCGGCTCATAGTGTGATCACTTTAACAACACCTGGTATTTTTGGCTGAGAACAGCCAGTGGCATTTTGTCCCATTTAAGACCCAGCACTTTGACAGTACTTGCATCTTTAGTGAGTCATGTTGTTCGCACTATAACTCGAACCCAACACCCAACAATTCAAATCCAAAGTGATATCTAGTATGTCACTGAATGAAAGAACCACCTCTTATGCACCGGTACCAATTATTATTGGTGTTTGAAACAAATGGTGTTGAGTTTGAGTTTCTTCAGAAACATTACCACTTAGTGGAAATGTTAGCAAAAGTAGCTGGGGAGTCTCAGATATTAATACACGAGTTCTAGTTGTTAACAACCCAGTTTCACAACATTATATAAATTAAGGTTCTCTAACTTCAGAGCAACATTTGAAACAAGCATGACAGTTAGAATTTTATTAAGAGATGTGAAATCAAATTTATCACTGTAGCGGTAACCAATTTCTTATGAATGTAGCGGTAATAATTTACATCAAAGTTGCTAGCTGAACAATAGTGCACAGTATAATACTAGCGCAAATTATAACCTCACCCAGTTTACTAACCGGTCTTCAGTAAGAAAAAATAGCAGTGTTGGCATAGCTGAATTCTCGCTCTCGGGATTCAAAGTCGGGATCTACAGGAATTAGCATAAAAAAGCCTGAGATCTTAGCGATAATGTCAAGTCAGTTCACGTCCAAAGGTGATGTGGAGATCGTGTGAAGAAGAAGCAGAAGCTTGTAAACAGTTGTTTAACCAGTTGAAAATGGAGGTGGAGACCCATATGTGACAGGGAAGTTTATGTTTTACTTGGAAGGCAAAGAATGAATCATAATAATATATAACTATAAATAGCAATATCAAGGCTAACATAAACGGAGAGGCACTGGAAAACGAAAACCGCGCAAAAGAAATGACAGGAAGAACTACTGTTAATAGTATCTCTACTAGATTAGACATTTTATCATTTCAAATGAAATATAACCGGAGTTCACCCCACAAAACTAACGTTAAATATTATGACTGGATTTATTAATTAGGTTTATGTCGATTTCAATCTTTGTTTGCTTATCGGAAATACCAGTGGCAACTTCGCTGAATGGCATTCAGAAGTCACATTTAGGTTACCTAATATTTCATCTTATTCCTGTAGCAAATGATAAATATTTTTTAGAAACAAAAGCATTAGAATATTGGCAACATGATAATGAACAAAATCCAAATAGTCAACTCACCTGTGGTAGATATGTAACAATATATAAAATTATAATAGTAAGTAGCATGTATGTTGTTTGATTAGCACTTCGACCACCAGCATAAGATTCATGATGTGAATTTGACTTAGGTCTATGACGATTTGTTGAATTAGCATTGTCATTGGCATTGTTTATGAAGCTTTCAACGCGTGTCGTCTCTAAAGTTGCCTGAAATTCTTTACAATTACGATATCTTCGTAATATACGATAGCGTTTTTCAGATTCACGTATAGAGGAAATCAAAGCTGCACTGACTGTTGTCATAATTAATATTGGCAATGCTTTAACCAGAATAGCTGAGTTCCAGAATAATATAAAACTTAGACTTTCATTTGTAGTATAATCAACTTCATAAAGCTCTACAGATTCCAAATGATTGTTTAGTGTATAATCCTTAGTTTTATTCACTGAATTTATTGGTACTGTGGGTCTATCACCTGATTTCGCGCGTACTTGATGAGCAATCATAAATGGTATTGTGAGTAGGACAGAACTGATAGATACCGACAAGACAGCTATCCATGCTCTAACCGTATTACAGTAAATAGCAGCACGTACACCAGCTTTGATATAAATCAAACGAAATATAGCCACAGCGACAATAATCCATGCAGAGAATGCATGAAATAAATGTTGTAATACAAGGTTAACCAATAATACCTGTGCATATCCTTTACTCATACCATCTGTTACTATTTGTGTCTTTAAGTAAAAATAAGCAAATATAACATATAAAAACATTACAAAACCATCACTGACTGCTAATATAGTTAGTAATAAATTTGTAGGACTACGTAGACGCGGTTGACACAAAACAACCACATTCAGTGTATTAGCGATAACACCAACTGGACATAAAATTAAACACAGGTAGACGTGGATGCGTAGATAATTTTGACGGAATACTTCTAACCACTCATAATCAATACATGTGTAATTATTACTATTATTGACAAATTCTGTCTGTGAAATATTATTCATGCTATAAATGTACAAATTATTTGTGATCAGATTTCATGTTATTTCTATAGCGAGGAAATGTACTCAGCTACTCGAGATATATATATAAGGCTCCGAATTAATAAGGGGGAAGTGTGATTGGTTGAGTGAAATGGCCAATGGAAATTGGGGAAAAAATAATTTGACTTACATATGTTTGCAGATCAAGTGTTTTCTATCCTCAAGATTCCCTGTCAGTGTGATAGAAGTAAAATTATTTGTGTAAGTTAATATAAAATGAGGTCAAATGAAAGTTTACTAAAAAATGTGGAAAACGTAAAATAAAAGTGATAATTGAGACGTATGTGCATAAACATAATTGTACTGCGAAATTATTAGGAAAAAGTTCAAAGTAAAGTTTAAGTACAAAATCTGAACGGCCGGAAATCTAAAAATATAATCTGTAATATTGATGAAAAAATTTTCACAGCTGGTTATGAAAAAATATACAGTATATAGACTGTGAATAGTTAGCACCTACATAAATAAACTTAGTGGAATTTTGATTGTCTAATGAAGTAATAGAAAATGTTCTTTAAATAGGTATTATGCCTGGAGTGAATTCACCTTAAGTGAAACTAAACAAATGTTGGATGGTAGCTACAAATATCTGATTATGGCTGATCGAGACATAATGTATGCAGAAAATAAAGCCTCATGCTTTGACAAATTCGATGGCTATGTGCAGCATAATATGAAATAATCTTTAAGTAATAAAATTCAAAAATTAAAGTGGACAGGTTTTCACACGTTTTTACTAAAGCTAGTTACTGATGAAAGCAAACTCTTATTAGGAGTGTTTTAGAAAATGGTAAAGGGTGAGGGTAAAAGTTATCACGATGTGTTCTCCGGCACAGTATAAAAGAAGTCACAACTAGTTTCCCAGCCGTATCAAAAGATTGATAAGCTAACTCTAAAACAGTCGAGACTAACATTTCATATGATTGGAGTAATCCTCTGGGCAAATAATGCGAATTCATGTAAGACCAGATATCAGGGGAAATTCGAATCATAATTGGCCTCCTCCACTCTCCCTTTTCGAGGATAGTGAAAGGGAGTGGCGGCAGGTTTGTTGTACTGTAGATTTACATACTCACTGCTTACTCTTAACTGTTTTAAGAGTTGTTGATCAACTGTCTTTACTGTTAAAATATCTATTGTAGCGTTTGCTTTAAAATGCGCGAAAATACTCCGTAAGGGCTTTTGTCTTCATCCACATACACGATTACTCTAAAAATTATGTCCTTTGAGGTAATTTGAACAGTAGCTGTGAGTAATAATTATAATTTAACTTAGATTAAGAGCAATAGGGGACAAACTTCTTCTGCATACAAACTTCTGGCTTTTCTATTTCTGCAGCTAAATCTTCATCATTATAGATGAGCGGAATATTTACTGATTCTAGGAGGTCATGTTTTTGCCTTATAGACAACTTTAAAGAAGGAGATTGTGTGAATAGGATGGCGACTGTCTGACCGAACAGAATCAAGGGACAGTAACACTTATTTACCTTCTATTTTGTTGAACTAATCTGTGCAACTTTCCCTTGTAGTCACTTTTAATGTGACTAATCATTTAAATCATTTCGCTTGTTCTCCTTTTATCAATTCAATTCAATATAATTTACAACGTTAAACGCTATCTTGTCAAATTTATCCCCCTATTACGAGGTGTTTTATCTGTTTAGTAGTCTTATTAGTTTTAGACTGGAATAACCGCTCGAGCATCACACAGACTTATCCTGACTGCCAATTTGTTTTAAACCTCTAAAATGAACAACTGCAATTCTAAGAGTGACACTTATGATAACTGATGGATACTTTTGCTTGCTTATTTCAGAGATCCAACAGTTTTGAAAGTAAGTGATTACGTCACTGCTGTGAACAGAATAATTTCGGCACTATTCAGTCTAACTTGGTGGTTGTCGTCTCTTATGCGTATGAAAGTTTACCTTTATGCATCATATATATTGTAACGGAGAAACAGTTTAAAAAAATCCTTCATGAATGATCTAATTACAATACTGACTCCTTACTGTATAATTATTAACCGTTTCTCTGACATTCGCACATCACGTATTGATTTGATCCTTATTGTTTGTCTTTTGGCTTGTTTAATCTCCAGTCTTAATTCTTTTCTTTGCGGTCGTGTGTATATTGGTAGCATACTGTACAACGCGATTTGGTTTGAGTAAATGAGGGTAATTTCTGACCAAGAAATGTCCACAGAAATCAATGGTGTGTGAATCTTGTGGATAGTGTTTAACCCCATCATTCTGAGAGGATTCAACTTGATTCTTAGTGCTCATTTTGTACTTAGACTGAACTGTACAGATGTCTGACAGCACTGTTGGGTTAATTTTGAGTTTTCGATGTTATTATTATTTAATACAAAAGCAAAATTACTCCAGAATAGTCGTCTTTTTCCAGTCTTTGGAGCTTTGATTGTGCGAGTCTCAAAGAAGACTGCTAGCTGTATAGTAGGATGCAGAGCTAGGTTTCTTGCCTTGAAACTGTAATGAGTCGCTTTTGTTCACCACAAATATTAACTGGTTAAATAAATATTTTTTTAATCTTGAGTGGTTACGATACAGGGATTTCTAATTTCTATCTACATATATTATTTAGATTATTGCTAACACTGAATAAAACATTTAGCATTCAGTTGGTTTTATGAATTTTGTGTTGAAATAATACTACACAACTTTTGAAAGTGATCTGTCCTGGAGGAAAACTTCTTTACAGGTGTTACACATATTTTAAGGTTAATAAAATAGTTTTAAAATATAAAATATATGATTAGTCTGCAAATTTTGTTTAAGGAAGCTATCAAACAGTTTAACTGCATAAATCAAGTTTTAATAATATATTTTAATAACAGTCGAAGAAGCAGCCGAATGAGTTTTATATTATTCCCTTCGGTTTTGAGTGGAACATAGAGCCTCGACAACACATCTCCACTTTGTTCTGTTTTCTGTCGTCCTCTTCAGCTTGGTCCAAAACTCCCCATAATCTCTCATCTCTTCCTGCCCACACAATCCCCTCCATGTCACCCTAGGACGACCCACTCGTCGCTTTCCATCGGGATCCCACTCAAGCCAGGGCCCGGTGCTCGCTGTCATTCGGCAGTTTCTTCAGTGTATGCCTAATCCACCTCCAATTTCTCCTACATATCTGTTGAGCGATCGGCTCTTGGTTGGCTTGTTCCCAGCCAGCTTTTATTGTTACTAATTCTTTCTGGCCATTTGATTTTCAGTATGTAGCAGACAAAATGGGCAGCTGTTGATGAAAGCCTGCAACCTGCTTCCGGTTGGTGAAGGCGTATCTTGCCTTTCCGATTCTGACTGACTGGCTTTGACGTCTTCATCCGTTCTGTCACCTGTAATTAAAACAGTGCTTCCTGGCTGGATAGGTGAAGGAAGTAACCTCTGTCAACTCTCTCCCGTTGATGGTGATTGACGCTGGTTGTTGTTTTTGTGGTTCGTTGATTATCTTCATCATCTCCGCCTTCTCTATGTTCGTCTGGAGTCCTGTTTTCACAGTCTGGTTCTTCAGCCAGCCAGTGTGTTGGTTCTCGCCTGTACGTCTTCGTGTTTTGTGACACCCAACATAAATCATCCACATGCGAAATCTAGATCTTCTAGAGTCTTCTTATCGGTGGTCCAGGGTGTTCCTGTCTCCTCACTTCCAAAGCACAGTCTGACGCATAATCCAGTCCACCAGTAAGGTATATCATTATAATATTGAAAAGTTAAGCAATCTTCACTTGTCTTCGAGGAGTAAAATCACTATTCTTACAATAGGAATACTTGTTAACCGTAAGTATAAACCTTTTATATTAAAGGCGAATAAAGAAGCAAAAACACTGCTGCGTAAAATAATAATAAGTTGATTAACTTTAAATGCATTGGTACGTTCAAAATTGTGTGTAACCCTTTGTTGGCATATTCTAGACATTTGCTGTTTTTCGGACATTGACATACAAATGCCATGTGTAAAACTGTTTCAAATGAATCCATCTGAAGAAACATCTAATATAGTGCTACCACATATTATTGTGAATTCACACATGAATCTGTCAAAGTGTTTGTCTTCCATACTCAATACATGACAATTGGAAGAACACATGTTTATACCGACATTTCCAGGAATAAAATCATCCATGTGTAACATACTTGTCTTGGTTTCATTATTCATATCCCGGGATTACTTTACTTTGTATTCATCATTTGATGACATATGCGGAGAAGTAGAGAAATGGAGAAAAAAGGTCTTAATATGATTACATAACTTTCAAAAACTTGCTATAGTTCACAATGAATAAATACCCCTATCAAAGTAAATTTGACCGTTCGGTACTTCTAATGAAAATGCATGACTTATAGGCAATAAACGTCTCAAACTTAGAAGCTATTAATCCTAAATCTCCAATCCATCACCTTTTGTCTTTGATGTGAAATATTTCAAAACCTTCGCTTGACAGAATGATAAGCAAGTGTTCATTAGTGTCTTCGGTTATTTTCTTTGTGATACAAATACTAATTCATTCGGCTGGAAAATCTGTGAGGTAATTGCCGTCGAAAACCTATTAACCTAATTCATGTGTGCACAACATGCCGATAATCCTTTTTTTTATCTGAAGACTTAAAAATCCTTCTTCATTATAAGCATAAACATTTTCCTCCTCAGTGTTACCGTATAACAGTGTAATTGCTACATTTGTTTGTTCTTATATTGCTTCTATGATCATCTATATTAGTTATAACTGCATATTTCAGTCATAGTTTCATAGTTTATTATAGAACTGAATGCTTCATAACATAATTCAAATGATTATTCAAGTCTTCACATATAAACAATGTCACTAAATACCCTCAGGCAGTGATAACAAATAACAAATAATACATGGAATCAACTTTATCATTACTACTGCTTTGATTTTTGTTCACTATCTCATATAATTGAAAAATGTTTATATTACCGACAACGGTTTCAAACGTTTATGGTCAATTATAATAATGTGTAATCGTAAAACCTGATGAAATA